AGGACTCCCTTGAAAAAGAGATTGGTTAAATAAAGTTAAATAAAGGAGAGTAAAGATCACACAGTTATGGCCTCTGATCTGACCCTGTTGTCTTTTTTATTTGTCTTTGTTTTTTTTACATATAATTTTCCACACTAGTCACTTCAGCTCCTTCCTCTGTCTATTTTCTGTTTTTTATTTTTTTAATGATTAAAACTCCATCACCATTGGAGTGCCTATCAGACCCCCCCCCTTTTTAATTTGGATTATGCTCTCTACTCTTCTATTGCTCTCTATATTTCGTGGCGGTAATAATTCATTCTTTATGCTTTTTACACTTTGGACTGAGAGGCTCACGCTGAGCTGAATAGCAGTTCAATGTGAGAGAAATAAAAATAGCCCGAAATGTCAGCAGGGGTTCATGATGGCCTCTTTTTCCTCAGAGAGCTCGTATTAGGGCCTACCCACATCTTATACAATAGACTAATGGAGCAGAGCTGTCAACTCCACTCACATAAAATACAGATCACAGCACATTGTGGAGTGGGCTTTTCTCTCAGTAACTCTTTCTACGCTCCATATCCCGTCTACATTTAAAAAATACAAATAAACAAACTGTCACACCTGATCTCGTTGTGCAGTTTTTTTATGAACATTCACGTTCAGATTCACAGCTCATACTCGTGTATGAACTAATAATAGAGGTTAAAGAAAGAGCTAATTAATTATTTTGTTTGCATGGTACTCTACAGCCTTTTTGGTCAATTTTCTCTATTTCAGGATTATTGATATATATTTCAAGACTTTTGATCTGAAAGGTTTGCGTTCAATAAAGAATTTCATGTTACATAGCAGCATTTTCAATCATTTACTTATTCAAGATGCCAGATCCACAATCAGCTAATGCCAATTAAACGTTGTGTCACCTTTAATTGGAGTTTAGTCTTTTAATGATGCAGCTGAAACCTTCATAGACTTCATCTTTGCAAAGTACCTGCAGGGAAATTAACTCATTGGCTGCAAAAGACGTCTATAGAGGTCTTTTATGTTTTTAACGAGAGTGTCTGGGGGACGATCTGCTAAAGCTTGTCCGTAAATATGGGCTTCTAGACAGAGTATGTAGTAACAAATTGAGCCTCTAGGGGGCAGTGCCACTTTTGATGGGAGATGAGCATAGACTGTAGGCAAATAAGAAAAAGGGAACGGTTCTATGAGAGAACATGTCGCCGGTGAGACGCAAGTCCAGGAAGAACGGAATAAGGTAGAAACACATTTTTTTTCCTGATGAAAGAAGAGAGTCTACTCTTTCTTTTGGTGTGTTCGGTGTTTACATAGTCATAGCACAAACTATTCTGTGGCTCTAGAAAAATCAGTCAAAATGCTCAGAAAACTCTGGCAGTATGGGGCTCTGTTCTGAAAATGGCTGCCAGTCAATTAGTTAAAAGTCAACACGTTTGCCTTAAACTTTGACTAAACACAGAGCTTTTCGTTATGATATCTCCCACTTGTTGCCATGGCTCCAGTTCTGAAGACTGACGGAGTCATTTTCTCATTTTCTATTTGCAAAGTGGCAGGAAGCCTTTTGTTTTTAATCAGAATTCCTCACAGACTGAGGACATAATGCTGCCCACTCAGTTCTTGTTGAGCTCACCTCTGTCTGATTGGCAGAATCTGAGAGAATTCTGCTCCTCTTCATCCTCTCGCATCAATCATGTAATTATGAGCAGACGCAGACAGGGTGATTAGCGGTGACTCATTGTTGAGAATTTGTTTTGGGGTTTAACCGAGATTGGTTTGGATTTATTATTTGGGATATTGTGGTTTAATATCCGGTAACTGTTTGTGGTCGTTTAACAGGATGGACTCAATATCCCATGATGCTTGGCATAGGTGCAAGTGACGAAGAAGTGAGAATTGAGAAGTTTACAGTTAAAAAGAGCTATGTTAGCCGATCATCTATATTCGGTCGTGTATTGTCATGTACAATCCGTTCATCCCTTTGTTGTGATTCACTAAAGTTCAGTTGAACTGTCCATCCGACTGCTTTTTCGTTTTTGGATCAGTCAAATATTCAACACTCATCTCCAAAAAAGGCCTGAAGCCCTTCAGTATTGTGACAGGCTTAGTACCTGAGCCATGGTTGTGCTCCAGGTTTCTGCCTGTTAAAGGAAGTTGTTCCTTGCCTGTGTCGCCTAGTGCTTGCTCATGGTGGGAATTGTTGGGTTTCTGTAATTAACTTCAGAGTAGGTCTGACCTGCTCTGTTTGGAAAGATAACTGTTGTTGTGATGTGGAGCTGTATAAATAAAGCTGAATTGAATTGAATAAATTTTAATTTTGTAATGTCATTGTCTGAACGTGTGTTTGGACTGATTTTATATTGTGTGATTTTGTGTTGTTTGGTCTTCCTGCCTCAGGACCACAGATGTAAACTAGCAACTATGCTAGAATCTGGCTCATTTACAATCTGTGTGAGATTGTTCATTAATGTGCACTGTCCTGATTAAATAAATAAATAAATTGTAAACTAGAAGAGAGGTGACACAGCTTCCAAACATGAGGACATTCGAAACCAGGTAGAGCTCTTAAAAACGGACCAAAATGTGTTGGTGCAGAGCTACAATCGAAGGGTTTCCAAAGTGGACTTTTGGAGATAAGAAAAATATTACCATTCAAATGTGCTTTGGGGTTATTTTATTCTTCTTTTCAGTTTTGCTATGGCAAAGCAATGGGGCATGCCATCTGAAAATAATTAAAACATACAAATAAATAAACCCTGCTGTCTTGTCTTTGGAAGTGCTTTGGTCTTATCTTTTTTCATTACTTCCAACTTCCACAAGCAGATGTTGGTAAAATTCTGCCCAAATAATTTTTGTCTCACAGCATCTCTGCTAAATTAACGTGAAATAACTCTGCTGATGTTTGCAGTTTTGTCAAACATGTGGAATTGACAGTTATAAATCTGACCTGACCTGACTTTGAACCATGGGAATGTTTGCATTTTGACACAGTCCTATTAAAGCATACCTTAGCCCAAAATGGAGCCCTGGGTTACAGAAGTATCTTGAATTTTAATTTTAATTTTAATTGGAGGGTGAGTGTTTCCTCACCACATCACCTGTTGGAGATTTAACCCAAAAACTATTTGGGATATTTTCACAAAAGTCCTGAACTATGTTTCAAAATCACAGATAATCTCAGTTTAACTCCCCTAATGGCTCTCTGTACTAGCTTAAACTGAAATAATCAATGAAGAAAACCAAACGTCACTTTCGTAAGACAAATGTTTGCACTGTGGAACATTATCTTTTCTGTAATTGTTAGACACAAAGGGCAGAGGAATAAATAACCCAGGCAGGAATGATTGAAGTGGATGAAGGCTGGCCTTTTGAAAACCCAAAGATGTCGAACAACACGACTCCCAAATGTCAGAAACCCCCCGGAAAGCTCCGGCTTCAGCACCCTGGACAGCGCCCTCTGACCAAAGCCTCTTTATCTGTGACTCAGAAATTATTATTAAATCCAGCAAAGGAAACGCGTTTTCTGAGCTCAAACCCTGACATGTGTGCACATAATAAAGTGACCTGCCTTAAAATCAGTATGAAGTGTTGGGCTTTTGGGTCTAGTAACAGCAATATCTATGAGAAGGAGGAACAGATTTTGATTCGTCTAAATAAATTCGTCTTTATTCTTTTGCTCTCTGAGACTTCTGTTACATAAATAATCCCACTAAAGCGACTTGTTCACAGCTTGTTTAAGTATTCAAATAGTCTTCTGTCTATTCTAACATCCACAGACACTGACCAAAGCCTCATTACCTGTCACTCAGAAATTATTATTAAATCCAGAAAGGAAACGCACATAATAAAGTGACCTGGCTTAAAATCAATGTGAAGTGTTGGGCTTTTGGGTTTAGTAACAGAAATATCTATGAGATGGAAGAACAGATTTTGTTTTGTATAAATAATCTGTCTTTATTCTTATGGTTTCTGATATTTCTGTTAAACAACTAATCCTACTAAAGCGACTTGTTCACGTCTTATTTAAGTATTTGAATATTCTTCTGTCTATTCTAACGTCCACAGCAACCGTTACCCCGGTATAACCTCACTAAATATGTCAGTTTCCTCACATTTGATAAGCACACACATGATATCAATGCCACAATTGGGTATAATAACTGAGAAACAAAGCCATTGTAGCAACTCGAATGGTTTTTACATGTTCAAAAAGGTTTTGTAAGTTTTCACCAACGTAATCAACATATAAAAAAAGACAGCATTATTTACTAAGAGTTGCAGACACATTCTGTTTTAGTGTTTATCAGTGCAAAGTGTTCACTAAAATCATGAAGCATCCGCAGATTATTTTAAACATATACTGTAGGAGCCATTTGTTTATTTTAGTTATTTGACAACCTACTTTCTTAATTTCTACATATCTTAATTTCTATGCCAGTTTGTTTCCATGTCTCCCCCTA